TTTTCCATCCTTTAATATTTCTTGTAGTGAAAGTCTGCTAACAATGAATTTTGTCAACATCTATTTGTCCGAAAAAGTCAAAAATTTCATTCTACCAGAAGGAAAAAGAAAAATATCTGATGGTTTCACTTATAGCAGGAATATAGGGGAACCAAATAGGACATCAGTGTAAAAAAATAATGGCAGTACAAAACACAACAAAGCAAAAACAGACAATTACAAATCAGAGACATCCTGCAGGGGAGGAGGAGGGAGACGGATCAGAGGGAGGGAGAGTGGAGAACAGGAGACTGTGGTGATGGTGCATGGGTGCCTTGGAGAAGAAAATTCTATGGGGACTCAACCTGAGGGGGTGGGGGGAAGCAAATATTGTTTAAAAAAATAAAAATTAAAAAATAAATTAAAAAAAATAAAAATATTCTATTGTATTTTCTACTTTGTATTGTATTGTTTTACATGAAAAGTCTGATAATTTTTGTTTGTATTTTTAGGTATGTGGTAAGTTTTTTCTTTTTAGATTTCCTACTTATTACAGATTTTCAGCAATTTGATTGTACTATGACTTGATGTCATTTTCTTTGTACACACTGCATTGTTCAGCCTCTTTGATCTGCAGACTTACAGTTTTCATTAAATTTGGAAAACTGCAGCCATTATTTCTTCAAATAATTTTTGTATATTATCCCTCTTTCAAGACTCACATGTATTAAATACATATGTTAAACTGCTTGACATTTCTTTCACTGAAGTTCTCTTAATTTTATATTTTCTTTCTCTGATCCACTTTACATTTTCTATTGCTAAGTATTCAATTTAAAAACCTTTTCTTCTGCAGTGTCTAATCTGCAGTTATCTCCATGCAATGACTTTTAAAATTCAGGTAATGTCTTTTTAATTTTTAAATGTTCAGTTAGGTTCCTTTTAACACCTTTTATTTATCAAATTAGTTACATTTAACTTCTTGAACTTATTTAATTTAGTTGTTTAGTGTTTTCATCTATTTTTATTGGTGATCTTCTGGTGATTAAGGATTTCTTATTTCTATTTCTTGGCACATGCAATAATTTTTGATTGGATTTTGGACATTGTAATGTCAGATATTGTTGAATGTCTGTATTTTATTATCTTCCTTTAAAGAATGTAGAATATTATTAAGCAGATAATAAAGTTATGTATTATCAGCTTGAGTTTTTTAAGACTTATTTTTAAGTATTGTTGGGATGGATTAGAGTAGCCTTTATTTTTTTTTTGTACAGTTGCTTTATTTTATTTTATTTTTTTAATTAATAAATTTTATTTTTATATTCCTCATACATTTGCAATCCCCCATTCTGACCCCAATCCCTCCCGCCCCCCCCCCCCAAAAAGTGTCTCTGGTTCATAGTTTTTGTTGATTTTGATTTTCACTTTCTTATAGTTATTCATTTTCCTGGTCCCTTATTTAAGTATTCTAGATTCCTGCTATGAGTGAGACCATCCGGTATTTTTCTTTTTCTTTTTGGCTTATTTCACTGAGCATGATCCCTTCCAGCGCCATTATTCCAGTGCTATTTTTATACCATTATTTAGGTATGACACTTCTTAGGTCTGTACTCAATACCTACTGTAGTCAACAGGACTATCTATAATTGTTCTGATCTTAAATCTCTCTCTCCATTTTGAGGAGCTCTAATAATTATTTAACATACAATTAATGGTAGAGAGATTACAAAATGATCTTTAATGATATTCACCCTTGTACATAATCCCTTCCCACTGGATTTTGGAAGACCCTGTGGATACGGTCACTGTAATGATTAAATTACTTTATTTGACAAAGGAGAATTATCCTGGTTGGGCCTGACCTCATCAGGTGAGCTAAGAGAGAAAGAGAGAGAGAGAGAGAGAGAGAGAGAGAGCGCCTAGATTAGTTGAAGAATAAAACTTCAGTATCTGAAAAAGATGATTTATATATTTAGTCCAAGTGTCTAGTTCTTTGCTGTGAGAAGGCAAATCTGGTACCAATTATTTGATTATGGAATTTTAAATTGAATAGTGGTAGTGAATTCAATTGACTCTGTAGCTATAATCAGGACCTTTATCTTGGACTTAGTTCACCACCAAGTCATCTCATGTCCTGGGCTTCTTAAAATAAATTAATGATCTCCAGATATTTATGCTTCGCCATTACCAAGCCAAGGCTGTATTTCCTTTGCCTATAAACAAAGATGCTACAGATATTTTACATATAATGTTATCACTGGGCTTTTTGAAACTGTAAATCCTACTGTTTTTAACTAATCTTTAAAGATAGAGAAGACTGAGTTGGAAGGAAAAGAATTGAAACACTAGCCAACTATGTCCCAAAAGTATGTAAACCACTCTTTTTTACCTTTCAGTTTCAGTTATTTGGAAATATTTTATATTAATGAAACACAAGGAATAATATAATAACCTTCTATATGCCAAATGACCAACTTATAAAGAAAATGCTCTTCCTTCAATATTATCATCCTTGTACAGATACCTAAATTCAGTGTTACTAATTCCCATGCATTTCTTCCTATTTTACTTCCTCTACATGCATCTTCAAATTTATTTTGCAGTTTTTGATTTTTAAAGTGTCAATATGTAGCATTTTTTCTGGTTTCCATTTTTTGTTTCATGTTTTATTGTGGGGCTGAAAAATTAATATATGCTTAGATTTTTATTGTATCTTATAATACAATTTATCCATTCAACCATTGAGACATTTAGATTGTTTCAACATTTTTAAAGTAATAAATGCAAATATTAACATTCATGTAGATGTGGCTAGTACACATTTATGAGAGTCCTATAGGGAATACCCCCCCATGTACTAGATAATAGGAACATGTATCTTTAAATTACTAGATATTGCCAATTGTGCTTCCATGTGGCTGTCCCTATTTGCATTCCCACAATAGGTTTTCTGGTTGTTCTGTATCCTTATAACCCTTGTTATCATCAGAATTAAATTATAAATAATTGTATGGGTGAGAATCTATCTAATGACTGCTATCTCATTATTGTCTAAGTATGCATTTCCCTGGCTATTGACCAGGTGGGACATCTTTTAATATATTCTCTGGCCAAATTGGCATGGAGTTTATTACCCAGTGTGGCCACTCCACTTTCTCAACTGTACTAGGCTTGACCTAAAGATCAAAAATCTAAAACCTTAAGATGTGCTGTGGAAAATTTTCGCAAATATGACTTCATTCCCTGAATCATTGAAGTGATTTCTGGTCAACACAACATGGCTCTTGCCAACTCTGCAGTTGGCCATGGCATGTTGTGTCAGTCTTATCTTCACTTACTCTGTTTTTTCCAGTTGTACAAAGAACAATAAACCCTAAACCATTGAAGGGAAGAGATAGACTAATTTATGAGAAAGATTAAGACACTGCTCTAGTGAAGATTGGCTAGTAACAGCAAGATTGGGTGAGTACCGAAGAGCCCAGTGGATTATATATAGAAATACTGCAGGACTTTTGTTTATTTGAGTAAGCCTGGCCATAGAATCACTATTATTAGGAATTTTCAATGTGGCTTAAACAAGAGTTTGAGCAGAATGACAAACACTCTGAGCATGCTAGTGCCATGTTAAGGGATAGAACCAGGTAACGTTGAGGTTTCTTCTTCCCTGTTGTCTGTGTCTCAAAGTGGAACCCACCCACAGAGCTTTTTCAGACTCTTTTCACTGCCAACAAGGAAATTTACAACAAAATATTTGTGTTATTTTCCAAAGGGGTAATGAGTAAAATTGTGTCTTTTACAAATATATCATCAGTAACTATTTCTGGTATAAGAAGCCAGGAAAATTCCCTGAATCTACTCTTGTTGCTAAATGGGCGTTGCCTCGAGTCCAGGGAATGTATTATTTACCCTTTCCATAATCTGCATTGTCTTTTGCCTCACTGCATTACAGTGTGCTGCCTGCCTCCCTTCTTAGATCCAGATGAATACTTTCCCCCCTTCGGGAATTTCACAAATCATTGATCTGTAGTGTTTCTGTATTCCCTCTCTGTGACTGTCTAAGTAAAACACAGCTGATGTAAGTAATTCAATTTGTAATTGATTTGGGACTGTACAACTGGTAGCTTTTTTTGGAAAATGGTGTGGGCATCTAAGTTTATATTACTTTGGAAAGATTTTATTTCATTCAAGCAGAAAAACTGAGAAGGAGGTCATTTAGTTCAAGTTTGAAAACAGAAAATTGCTCTGTATTGGTCTTAATTATTGCATTCAGTTGATGTTTCTGTGACTCAAGGGATACAAGCTTCCTATTTACATTGGTGGAAAATTCTAAACCTAAGAGATGAACACATAGGAAAGAATTCTTCATGTTCAGACTAAATCAGCTCTTATATTATACAGATTACCCTGATCCTTTCTTAGATCCTGCACTTCTTAGATGTGTGTTAATTCCCACTAGTCATTACAACTAGACACAGGTATGATATTTAAAATAATGCACTTGTCATTTGGATAATTGATACTGTTTTCTGTGGAGTCTCTACACACGTGTGTGCACGCATGCTTTGCAACTGTCTTGATATGAGCACAGATGGGGGCAGTGTTTTTGAGATGAACTTTCTAATCTTTGATAGCCAGTTGTAGACATCATACCTTTTTATTTATTTATTTATTGGTAGGGCCAACTCTTTAAATATGCTTTTGATCCTCTCTTACATGTTGCGTTGCAAAAGTGTGGCTTGTTTGCTGTTGTAAAGTTTGGTTTTCTCTATACATCTTTTTTTTTTTATTTTTAAATTTTTTAAACAATATTTGCTTCCCCCACCCCCTCAGATTGAGTTCCCGTAGAATTTCCTTCCCCAAGGCACCCATGCATCATCACCTCAGTCCCCTGTGCTTCCTCCCTCCCTCTCCCTCCTCCTTGTTGTCTGTTTTTGCTTTGTTGTGTTTTTACTGTTATTATTATTTTTTTAACACTTATGTCTCTCTATACATCTTATAACAGCTATTGTCTCCCTCAGGTCATCCAGGCTGTCTTCTTCGGCGTCTGCGTGCTAACCGACCTCTCCAGTCTTCTGACTAGAGGAAGTGGTAACCAAGAGCAAGAAAGACAGCTCAAGAAGCTCATCTCGCTCCGGGATTGGATCTTGGCTGTGTTGGCCTTTCCTGTTGGGGTTGTGAGTATAACGTAGGATGCATTTAACCACAAAAGAAACTTGGGTCTTATTTCTGACTTCTGAGAGGAAAGAAAGGACTTGTTCTAGGAGGTTTCTGTATGAGGTTGCTAGTGCTTCCATAACAAAGTACCACAGATTAAGTGGCTTAAAACAAAATTTATTTTCTCATAGTCAAGGCCTCTCTCCTGAGTTTGTACTTGACTTCTTCCCTGTGTTTTCACAAGCTCCTCCCTCTGTGTGTGTCTGCACCCTAGTTCCTCTTCTTATAAGGACACCAGTTGTATTGGATTAGGATACCCCAATGACCTAATTTAACTTTAATTGATTCAATTAATAACATTAATTAAAGTCCCTCCCTCCAAACACAGTCACATTCTGAGGTACTGCGGGTTAGGACATCGACCTATGAGTTGGGGTTACATGAGAAGTAGGTGGCATGTTTAACCCGTATCAGCATCATGAGCAGTTTGAAATGCACAGTCCTTGGGTCTGTGACCATTCTAGTATTTTTTGAACCTGAGAGGGGAAATCAGCTTTAGCTCCTACTTGTTTTCTTACCCAGCCATGCCCTTAGTTAATGTCATTTAAGCAAATGCTGCTGAATGTTTGGGTCTGTTCTGACTTTCTTGATTTTCATTGTTTTTAGTGAGATTCCCTCCATCACTTGAGTGCCTTCACAAGTCTGTCAATCATCCACCCTTTGTACATGAACCGTATTTTCTTAAAGAAACAGCGTTTGATAAGGTTCTGTAGATTTTAACCTGTGTCTTGCCAGAGGTAGAAGTGAACTCTTGGAAATCTCAAATTGGAAGGACAAGTAAGAATGTGTTACCGTATTCAACTTCAGGCCTTTCATTTGTCACCTGATTCTGGGAAAAACTGAAGCCCAAGGGCTCTAGGCTGGCACATGTACTGCTACTTCAAGGTCCACTGTAGGAAGAGTCAAAAAGGTTTTTTTTTAAGTCCTTCCAATGACTCATATTTGCCAGAACGAGAACTAGCAGGAGCTTCTCTGTACTTGTAAGTCCAATCAGCAGGCATCCAGATCGTCCCCGATTGCTTGTTCTATGTACTGAGTTGTCTTTTCTTGGATGAAGTAGCCTTTGGCTCTTAACAGCACCAGGAAAGTATTTTAATCTGGTCACTCTCTTCTCATTCTCATCCTTACCCTCTGAAAACTCAAAGAGGGTGTTCAGATTGCCATCCCAAATCCTGTTACTTAAAATAACAGGATCAAATGCTGCACTTACTATTTAATATTTCCTTTTGACATTACCTTATATAGCTCAAATGCTTCCTATCAGAAAAGTCATATAACAGAAAATTCCTTTTGGCATCAAGTGTAAAAATGTATAATTTCTGCATGAAAGAATTCTCTAGAAACTCAGTCTATCTTTGTTTCTTCTTACCTTTCACTTCCTGGGAATTTCCATAAGCATGTCATTTTTTCTGGAAGTCTTCCTTGACTAAAGTAATACAATAGTAACACCATACAAAAGTAAAAAGGAATAGAATATTAACATGTTCTTCTTAGCTCCGCCTCTCCTTCTGTTATGTGGTGTCAAACTGTGTCTCTAGGGCTTAAATTATGAGTCTTGCCACTCTCATCAAAGGCTTATTACACATGCCCTCTAGACATTTTTGACATTACTTTGGCCAGAAACTTTTTGCACCTGCTTGAGACTTGAGATATCTGTCATTTCAGTGTCCTTCCTGAATTTAGTCCATGTTTGTAAAAAAAGAATAGGTATCTGTTTGTTTGCTTGTTTGATTACTTCTCATATTTGTCCTCCATAAATCACTGTTTTTAAAGACAAAATAAAAGTAAAAATATCTTTAATCCCCATCCCCACTTTGTATCCACAAATCGTAACATCACTGTTTCATTACACCTGCGAGTGGCTTCCCTGGCGGCTGTGCTTCATAGAATCTAAAGAATAAAATATGAATCAGAGACATGCAGTTTTACTGATTTCTTAAGCTCTTTTTTCCTCTTTCCTACTGATATTTTATAGTGAATATTTATATTTTTCATAATATTTTCTGTTGTTTGAGTCACTTTCCCTTTTATAGTTATTAGCCTCCTCCCACCCCCAAGCTTTTGAAGTTTCTCTATACTCTGTCTCTCTCTCTCTCATTAAGAATAATCCTGGGGGGCCTCCCTGGTGGTCTAGTATTTTAGTATCAGTGCTATCACCACTAAGGCCTGAGTTCGATACGGGCTAGGGAAGTGACCCATACGATGCAGCAGACCTCTTTTGTCTCGCCCACTGCTCTCCTCAGCAGGGTATTTCAGTTAATCCACCTGTTCTGCTGCCTACTCTCTCTCTGGTGAATCCTCTCACCCCCAACACTTCTGACCTGTACCCCAGTTCTTCTAAGCAAAAAAAGAATAATCTGGACTAATATTCTCTAGAACTTTCCTTACTCTTTTCACTGTTTCCATGTTTCTTTGATTTTTTTGTATCCATTCACTCACTATCTATCTGATTTCCCACTCTAACACAGATATTAATTTTGAGGGAAAAATCAGATCAATACCTGCTTCCCAGTGCCCATTAATTGTTTGCAGAATAATATTTACAGAAGATAAGTTTGACTTTTTATAAGCATTTTGAACTCAAATATTTTTTCATCAAAACATAATTTTGTTTTTTTTCACTTCTCTTTCCTTAAGTTTATTCCTCAGCTTTCCTTTTCATTGTCCCTTTATCTTTCTGTGACTTCAGAGCTTTCTTCTGCCTTTTCTGGATTTCCCCCACCCCCATAGCCTTCAATTGTTCAGTAGGGTCTGGAACTCCACTGTTGTTTTATTTTTATCACTTAAGATTTGCTTGCTTAGTGAGAATGCTTTTTGGAACATTTCCTCTAGGAATTCCTTGAAGAGGCACTATCTTTACTCTCCCCTTTACTATAAACCTGGGAGGGAAGTGTCTGGCCCTAAGGGTTCATTATATCAGAAGGATGGAATAGCATGGAAGGAATGAAATGCCCAGCCACGGAAGGGCCTATACTTCTATCTGTAGGTTTCTGAAGTGTAAGAATGCTTATCATGTGTGCAAATGATTGTTATTTAAAGTATTTGTAATTAAGCACCTTTTCTATTTTGGTTGACAAGAACTGGGGTATGGGCCAGAGGCACGGGAGGGTGAGAGGATTCACCAGAGACAGAGTCGGGGAGCAGAACAGGAGGACTGACTGAGATACACTGCTGAGGGGAGCAGTGGGAGAGACAGGAGAGGTCTGTCACGCCATGTGGGAATCTCTCTGGCTGGCCGGGAATCGAACCCTCGCTACAGAGGCTGCAGACAGCTTCACAGCGCTGTGCTCAACCCACTGTACCACCAGGGAGGACCGACACAGTCATATCTTACAAGACAAAACACCTGAGCACTCTCCCTGCGCCCAGATAGCTCTGGGTGTGGCTGGAGCCTCCCAAAGAGGAAGGTCAGAGCCCCTACTTAGAGCCTGCTTCTGATCCTGAGGCCCCTTGGCTCTGAGCCCAGGTGACTGCCCACCTTGTGTGCCTCCCAGGTGCCTTCTGCTGGTTTCTGCCTCAGGCCTTTTTTTTTGTCAGTCAGAAGTTTCTAGAAAAGTAATGCGATTTTTTTCCTGCTAGTGCAGGGCTTAAAAAGTGAGCAGAGTGGTAGCTGAATCTATCACCTCTGCTCAAATTTGCCTGAAGAGACCTCTTAGCCCCAAGCTTTTCCTGAAGGTGCCCATTATCTCTCTCTCTCTCTTCACTCTCTCTCACCTCAGCTGCAACTATGGCAGCAAGAAAGACACAAGTAGGTTATCTAGGATTTGTATTTTCTCCACTAATGCTTCCTCCAATAACAAGGTTAATTGAGAGTTGACAGTAATTGCTTTATGTGGGCTTAAAGCACTAAATATGATTTTGTGACCCATGGACTGAATGTGTCTACTTCATGGACACTATCTGGAGTATCTATAAAAATAATGAAACATTCCAATCAAAGGTAATTGGAGTAAAGTTTTGTTTTAGCATAACCTTGAAGAAATTGGGCAGGGTTGTTTGAGTGAACATAACATGTATCATCCTGATGTGTATAGATTCCCATAAATGCTAAGCTGGCCTTGATTAGTAACGCTAATGGCCGGAAACCACCACCACTCCCAAAGCCTTGCAACTCATTTTGCAGGGATAACCCATGGGAGGCTCTTCTTACCATGTGCAGTTTATTTCTGAACTCTGTCACCCTTTTAAAGAAGCATTACAAATAATTCTATGACATTATGTGGTCTGGAAGCACTGAAGTTTATTAGGAGCAATCAAACCAAGAATGTCTTTTGTCTCCTGTGAGTTTGTTGACTTTTGTGCTGGCAGATCCTCTTCTGGTTAGGAGAGCAGGCTAAGGCTTTCAACCAAAAAAAAAAGAAAGAAAGAGGATGAGGATGAGGATGAAACCCCCCCATCTAAAATCCTCTATGTTGCTATCCAATTTCCCTTTTAATGACAAAAAACAGCCATGCATTTTCCATTTATTGACATTTATGTATCCCATTCATTTGTAACTGCTTGGCTGGCACCATACACACTGTCACATCTCACCACCTCCCCCAGGGTTGTATACCCTTTGCTCCAGGGTATAGCAAGAGCAAACCAGCCAGGATGAGATTTGGGGGGATTTGGCTTTCATGGTTGAGCTTAGTTTCAAAACTCTCTGTTAAGTAAACCTTTGCGGTATTAGAATTGTGCTCTTACACTTGGTGAAGATTTTACATGTACCAACCTAGTCCAGAATCTTTAAAATTTGATTTTGCCTGTGATGGGGACTGTATAGTACCTGTTTCCTTTGGAAGTGTGTGGAAAATGGAAACTGAAATCTCAAATGCAAACTCAAAGAAAAATTATCCCACAATTATTTTATTTTTTAATATTTATTTTATTTTCTAATTAAATTTACCCATTATTTTTTTTTAAAGATTTTATTTATTTATTTATTTATTTTTTTTTTTTAATAAATTTTATTGTTATA